ATTACAGTAATTACATTTTAATATTTTTTAATGAGGGTGAATTTAGTATTGCAAATGTTACTAAAATTCTTACTATTTTTGTTAGGTTCATAGTCAATACCAACTCTATTGTAAGAAGCCCTTTGATTCTCCCAACAAAAGATTTAATTTATCTCTTCCATTAGTGAATCTGCCATGTGATTTTTGAAGATTGCAAATTTCACTTTTCAAAATATCACATTCATTACACTTGAAAGTTTCACCCACCTCTCCAGAGGGGCAAGAGTTTTGGACTAGATCATTTGGTCTCTCTCTCTCTAAGATTTTCTATTTCTTTTATAAGATTTTTAGTTTTAGATTCAAGTGAAGATATAGTATCTTTGGAGATGGAGACAACTTTTTCTAGTTTACTCGTTTCTTTTATTAGGTTCTTACAAATGCGAAAAAGATTATGATAAGAAAAGTAAGAAGGTGCCTCATCATCTTGATGATTTGGCATGAGACAAGTGTTGGCTTCATCATCATCATCTGAGTATTCCATGTCATTGTCCTCTCATGTGATGTAAAACTTCTTTCCCTTTTTCTGAGGTTTCTTAAATTTCTTCTAATTTTGATTTTCCTTTTTCCATAGAGGAAAATTTGGTAGGATGTGACCTTTTTTTTTCCGTATTGATAACATGTAGGAATAAATAAGGTGTTTTCTTCACTTTTGTCTTGCTCTTCTTGTTTTTGTTTCTTATGCTTCAAGAATTTTTTGAAGTTTTGCACCATGAGTGAGATGTCTCCATCGAAATTAGAATCTTCAACTATGAGAACAAGACTTTTGCTTTTCTTCTATCCTTCCTCATCCATGGCAACCCTTTTTAGCTTCATTCCGTGTTTTTATAATTTACCCAAAAGAGTGTATGTGTGTCCATGGTTTCTAAATCCCTAGATTCATAAATCACAGTAACTTTAGGTTGCCAACTATGGTTTAGGTATTTGATAATTTTCACAACCAACTCTTTGTTTAAATTTTTTCCTAGAGTTCTCATATGACTCACGATATGGGTAAGTTGTGTTTCCATTTGATTTATATTCTTTTCAGGTTTCATTCTAAAAAGTTCATAGTTGCGAGTTAATGTGCCCAACCTTACCCTTTTTTTTACCTCAGTTGTTCCTTCATGGGTAATTTGGAGGATGTCCCACATTTCTTATGCACTCTTGTAGTGATAAACTCACCAAAATTAATCAAGACCGAGAGCACTAGTGATGGTAGTTTTTACCTTCAAATGATGCTACACATTTTATTTATAATCTTTGGTCCAATCCTTTTTAGGTTTGTTCAATACAACACTATTAACTTTGTGTGTTGGAACAAATGGACATTCCTTTAGAGCCTTAAAAATACTAAGATCCACCCCTTCTATGAAAAACTTCATTTTCTCTTTTCGTAAACTATACCTTTCTCCATTAAAGGATATGGGTTTATTTAGTGAGTAGTTTGATGTCATTTTCCTTCTATACAAGTGTCTTCAAGTACAAGAAGAGGGGTGAACTATTGTATTCAAAATTTGTGATTAATTTAAATGGTTTATTTCTTAAAAATAAAATTATGTTAGTATCCATAAAATTCAAAAAGAAAAGCAGTGGAAAGAAAAAACAATAAGATAAGTAATTGAATTTAAAGCATAAGGGTTAGAGAGATGACACCAGAGAGTTATACAGGTTCAGCTGAATATTGGTGTAGTCCTAATCCAAAGATATCTTCTTGAGATTTTACAAAAATATTTAGCTTTTATATGTTATGCCCACAAACTATTGATACAAGCAAATTGAGATATTTTATATGGACTTATCCCCCAACTAAAAGAGATATTTTCCACATGATGAACTCATGAACCGAGTAGATATTTCATCGACTATTTTCAATAACTAAACAAAACTTTTGAGGCTGAGTTCTATAACCAAACATTAGTTTTCCAGTGGTTAATCTCAAGAATAAAACTCAATTCTCTAATAATATTACACTCTTGAAAATAAAACAATGGCATGACACATGTACAACTCTTTCCTCACTAGTAGTTTTCACTCACAAGGGATTAAGGCAACTTTAGTGAAAGAAAATATTTAAAGAGAGAGAAGAGAGATATAAAATGTAAAAAAATTGGAAAATTTCAAATTGTGGTGTAAAATAAAGTGAATGATTCCTCCTTTGTATAGGAAATTTTTTGACTCAAAATGAAAATAATCCATCTGCCAAATTAATGGCCTAATCGACTATTGGGGCCTAAAATGGAAGGTTTTGTTATAGAGTCATTATCAATCATTAAGAGAATGTAGTAAGCATCATCTAATCGATTAGTCAAAAGATTTAATCAATTGGACAATTAGAAAAAGTCTCCTAATCAACTAGACCATCCTCTAATCAACTAATTAGGCCTTAACAACACTTTTAGGTAATTTTGTTAAGTAAGAAGAGACCTTAAAATTATTGTGTGTGTGTGTGTGCGCGCGCGCGCGTGCGTGCGTGCAATTTTTCTTAGTATCTTAGGAGTTCCTCTTCTACTTTCACAAGACTGTAGTCACTTAGACAATCACGACCAAACGATGTTTCACACTTCCTCTCTTTTAAAACTCTGAAGCTTTGAAAATCCTTTTCCAGATATATAATCATATAAACACTTCACTGTAACCTTGAATCTTCTACTTTATGTGACTTGAGATATATTTAAGTTAATCATCATCATCAAAGAGATGGAAAAATATCACCACCAACTTCAATATTGATCATTGTTGTTGTCATAAAAACATTAAAAATGTTATCAACACTAGGATCATCAACTTCATAATAATTGCAAGCACATAAATCCACCTACCTATAATATTTTATATTAGCTCTTTCAAAAGTATTATTATCACACTCTTTTTAACACACTTTGTATTTGTTAAAATTTATATGGATCTCACTATATTTATGTGTGCCATATATCATTTAATTGAATCTATTTAAGTTTGAACTAATATAAGAATATGTTGAATAAAATCATGTATTGTTGTTAAGTTCTCGACTTTTTATGTGAATATGAATTTGTGTAATTGAAATCTCATTTAAATATTTTGTTACTAGAAATAGTGTTGGATTTATTTACCAACAATATAATTGAGGTTTCTTTAGTATTAATGAAATTTAGGTATTTCCTTAATTAAAATTGAAACCTATTTGACAAAAAAGCAAGCAATGTTAATTTTCCCAAAAGAAAACCCATAAACACATGATAAACAAATCTAAACCAATATTTAAAACTAATAGAATTAGAAACTTAAGTCTAGAATTTCATTTGCAACCGTCACTCTCTAATCTACTATCTATCTAATACTAAGCAATTGAATACTTTACCAACAATGCCCTTTCATTTAAAAAAAATTCACTAACAAAAGGGTGATTCAGTAAATAATAAAAGATCAAATTAATTCACTTCCTCTTACTCTTTTCTGCCACGTGCGATTTCAACTTAAAATTCAAATTCATTACTCGGTTTCATTTTCACATTTTCACGCTCTTCACGTTCCTCTCTCCCTTTTTCTCTATTCTCCCCTCTCTTTACCCCTAAATCCTAAAATAACTGCCGCCCCTTTCTCTATCCTATTTACGGTCACCATCTCTAATGAAAAAATCAATGCAATAATCATGCTTCTCATCTCACGCCCTTCTTAATGAACCATATGGATTTTTGTTTTGAACAACCTTACTCTCGACCATTGGATCTCCTTCTTCGAATGTTTTGTTAGGAAATACCATGTTTCCCCTTCTTCGATCCATTTACATTTCTATTAACATAACAAAGTTGAGTATTTGATCTTTTCACTAAAAAAAAACTCTACTTTTCTGTGTTTTTTTTTGTGTTGTTCGCTTTTCTTTTTTTCATCTACAGACTTGTGTTCTCCAAGAGATTTTTCACAGTGATGGATGTAAGTAGAAAATGAAGAATCTCCTTCAAAGAATTAAAGGTACTCACTTTATTGATGTTTTTCTGCCTATGTTCAACCGAACATGAATGCTACTTTTCAAAACATCAAAGGAAATTTCATACTTTTAAAATTTTTTTATTTTTAATTATTAGATTTTTTTTTATTTTAACTTTATTTTTTGTGTGCATAACTTTTTTTTAAATATTTTTGGATCTTTTGCGTGTTTATCAAGTTCAAATGGATGCAAAACAATGGAAAGTAACAATTTTAAGAAGTGTGGATGTTGCAACCTTGATCAAGAACTTTTAAGATCGGGTAAATATGCTGAAGATCTTTTCGATTTTGTTAACTTGTCATTATGTATTGTTCTATCTTTTTGGTTTAATTCAATTTCTTATGGATTATAGAAACTTAGCTACCATTGTTTGGATGGAAAATAGTTTAACCTTTTGGTATATTGATTCTCTTAACCTGGTCTCTGAGGATATTCGGAAAAAGCGATGGCACTGGACACTGACTTTTTAGGGGTATCAATTTTTTTATATTATATAAATTTAATATACATTTATTTTGGACTAATATACATTTTTTTATAAGCTTAAAATCTAATAAAAAAATTAATCTTAGATTGAATCACATATGACATATCATATATAATGATTTAAAAATAATTATTAGAATGCTACTGATAGATGTTTGAATTAATAGATACATTATATCTACTTTTGTAATAACTTTATTGTAGTTTTAATTTGGTGTAAAGTTTTCAATATTAATGTAATTTTTTTACTTTTTTTTAACAATTATATATTTATAATTATATGACTTATAAATTTGGTAAAAAAAATTATGAATTAAGAAAAAGGGCACCCAATTCATAATTTTGACATAACACTCAAAATCCCGGAGACGGCCATGCATGTTGGTGTGTCACTTTTGTTGCTTATGTAGCCAAAAAAGAAAGAACACATAAATTTATCAATCAAATTATGAAAGGATTCATAAACTATTTTAAAATAGAAATGCAACAAAATAAATTAATAATGCATAAATGAAATTAATAATATTCTTCAATTTTGTGTCCATGCATACGACAACATGGAGAACCCATTAGCAACATTACTCCCATAAACCTCATTGTTGTTTTCCTCTGCCCACTTCAACATTAAGGTAGAATCAAAATTAGACATGCTCTTCCATGTTAACCACTTTTGTACACCCACCATTTCTGGCCACATTGTGCCAGAAATGTAATCCCCTACTTGAAAAACAAACACACCATGTCCAATATTATTGTTGTTGTTGGTGTTGTTGTAATCATCCCAACTCAACAACACGTCCCAATAGATCTCGACTTGGATACCTTCTACTAATATGATCTTTTCGTACCCTCTAAATTTCCATGCCATCCTTTTTACCACCATCTTAATTTCTCCATCCACTTTCACTCTCACCACACCTTCCTTGCATTCAATCTCTATTACATGTTTCGAACCCATCAAAACCGCATGCGACACATAGCTCCTATTTTGAAACATGTGATATCTCCTCGATAATATAACCGAATTAGAAGACTTGTCTTGATTATGTTTCAAATTGGAGTGAATATCACCCATAAAAAACTGGACTATTTTGTTGTATGAGATTGCAAAGTAGAAGCATGAGTGTGGCTCCGCCGAGTTTTGAATGAATTTTGCCTTAGAGAAGTTCCAATGGAGCTTGATTTTATGTGAATAACGTCTATGAAAGATGGATTTTGAGGTGTGTAACTTGTTTTGGAAGAAATTTGATGATGAATTGAGAGAAATGGTAATGGAATTGGAAAAGATAAATGGGGCATGTATGGTTAGGGAATGAGATGATAGGGTTCTTGACCATGTAAGGGTCATATGATAAGTTGGAGAGTTACATAGTTGAGTTTGATATATACATGTTACAACATGTTGTGGAACTTGAGAGTTGTTGTTGCTACTTAATAATGATTCATTTGGTTTAGGTGGCTTGAAACAACATGCGATCATGTTGTCACTTAATAAAAAACCGGTTGAAATTTCTTTAGCAAACCATTAATTCATTTTTTGAGTTTTGCTTCATTGATTTTCACTTTTGATTATGCTATGTTTTTTTTTATTAATAACAATCATTACACCATTACATGTTATTTGTGATTATCTTGCACATGAATTGACATTTTTCTAAATTCTTTATTTAGATTGACCCTTTTTTAAGAAGAAAGGGTAACTTAATTGGATTTTTTTTCTCCCAATGAGACAAACTTATATGTATTTTTTTTGTTCTAATTACATTATTAATATTATTTTAAAACATAAATTAAATTATTAGTTTAAGATTATTTGTAATATGCATTTTAATATTTTCTTTCATGTAAATCTTACATGAATCTCATAGAACAATATGATTTTCAATAAATATACTAGTAAGATACTCATGCGTCTGCACGGTGTCATACCCCAAATTTGTCCTACCTTTTGAGATCTCCTTATACCAAGTGGTTATGTGGATTGGTAACCTTCCTATGCATTCAATTATAAGGCATGAATTAATTTCGAGTTTGAGTCATGGTACAAGGTGACCTACTTTGTTTCCTTTGTTTCAATTGGTTTCTATAAGATGTGGTTGGAAGGGTTGTTTCGAGCTTTGTGGATTTACGGCTAATTTTATGTTAGGATGCAAGTCTGGAATCTTTTCACATTTCAGGTTATATTGAAATTCGCTTCAGAGCATAATTTTAATAGGAGGCTGTGAGTAATGAGTCTTGTTTAAGAAAAGTTCAGATTTGATTAAAATCTCATTTTTAGAGTTTTGGACTTTTATGAGAGATTTGGGCACAAATAAATTCCTCCTTGAAGAAAATTGAAAATGGACGGGCCGTGACCCAGGTAGAAAGTTAAACCATATGTTGATCCTTCTCATGTTTTAGGATTATGTTAAGAAAAAGGGATTATGAAGTTATTTGTTTCAAGGAGTCATTCCAAGCCATTATATGGCAGTATTGCAAAGAGAAATAATGGCAAGCCGTGAATTGGTCACAATTGGTTTTAAGTTATTGGTTTTAAGGCAAGACATTGATATACGCATGGCATGGCATGCCCCTTATGTCTCAAAGTTTCTAGATTCCTTATGTCTCAAAGTTTCTAAACTCCTTGTGGTCATGTGGCTCTATGAGGATTGTGCTAAATAATATGAAAACCAGTGCATGGAAAGAAGGACGTTAACTTGAGGAGGTCGATTGGATTTAATGTGTCAACACATTTCAGGTTACGAAAAGCTGTGTTTTTATACATAACACGCAAGTACATACCATGAGAATTAGCCCCTAGAATAAAACAAAATTCTTCATATACCAATCATCTTTCTAACTTGTAAGATATAGAAATGCTTAGGATGCTGGTCTTAGAGGAAAATCTGAAACAGTATTTGGAGTTTGTTCGTCACCGACACCGAGTCTTCACACCGAGTTTCAAAATAGTCTGAGACTCCTTTTGCGCTAGGTTTGATACTCTATTCTTAAATACCTCCTCGTGCCAACTCAAAGCTTCCCCATCCTTTCATTTCCGAGTACAACACGCATGAAAAAAGAAGAACGGAGGAGGGTTAGCGGAGTAAAATATTCAGGAGGTTGTTTGGAATAAACAGCAGAACAAGAGAAATATGTAAGTCAACAAGGAGGAAACGAAAACCTGCAGAATGGATTCCTCAAACTTTCTTTGAGTCTCGCTAAATTCATTTCGAGCAAGCTTAAATCCATGCTTCAGCTCACAACAACGGCGTGACTTTCAAATCAAGGACTCCAAAATGGCCAAACCATCTTCAAAACCACACTTTGTATCGTACCAGTATCACCAGTTTTTTGTTGTTGTTGTTTTGCGCTCCATAATAGTCCAAAATCTGCAGCCAGTACACTCTGTCAATGATGAGAAGTTACTCATAATATGTTACAACAACATACTATCCTATACAAACCAACCAAAGAAAAGATCAATAACATAACCTGCAACATATCAGAAGCAGCGGCGCACTAATCCAGACCATGGTTCACACGCTCCAGTCGGTGTGCGACTTATGCACCACCAAGAGTTACTCCAGTGTCATACCCACAATTCACGCATACAGGCCACGAGATTTCGTATGAAAGACGATACACACTACCACCTGTTACGACTTTACGTGCCTTCGTACGTGAGTCGCAGCTTGCAGTAATCATACTCCATTTTCGTACCGCAAGCCACCTCAAGTCGCAGCTCTGATATTTTTTCCACCTGCAAAGCAAAGCAGCCACACCAAAGCCTGACGGTGATTCACTGCGTATCACATGATAAGGCCAAGATTGTACACAAATATCACATCCTGCAACTGATGCACCCATGCCATGATTCACCCAGTTTTGGAAATCATAACCTGCACAATCAAAAATTAAGACAACGTCAAGGAGCATGATTCAGTTTTCATTACGCAAGCCCCTAGCCACCTGCAGTACACCGTAAGTACCATGTGCGAAGACGAAGAGGGAAAGAGATAGATACCTGCAACTTTGGCTCCTGTTAATGCTCTAGAGGTGTATATCCAAATATCTAGTCACCCAAATCACAAAACTAACAAACAAGGCATTGCAATTGGAGGTGGATTCAAATGTTGTTATTTTTTACCATTCATCGAGACAAATATTGGCTACACGTCTGCAGCTTTTCATCTGGATGGTTTTATTCTTGGGGCAGAGGCAAAACGGCCTCTCAGTTCCACGATAACGGCAGCATGATCTACAATGGCAAAGAGCAAGAGAGTCTAGCCTGTGTACAAAACAATCTGAGCTAAAAATGCACCCCAGGCCTTCATGTTGTAACCATCTGCAAAAAAAAAACGGTTTGAGTTACAATAAGCACCACAAGATTTCCTGGATAATCAAACTTTCTAAGCGGAAACTTCTCAAAGTAAAAGGAGCCGAGATCCTATCATGAGCTATTAAATTCTGAGCGCCACTCAAAGCTTTCGAGCCAAATTACCTGTTTTCGAACCGTTGTTTCCGGACTCGACGCCAACGTTTTTTCAAAAGGACATGAGCTATCTACAGCATTCAACAGACTGTGTCCTGCAAAACTTAAACAAATATAGAGAGCAAAAGATGGTTGTGATACAGGCCCTGTTATGTCCTAAAGTTAAAAGGTAAGTGGGACATGTGCCTAAGAATAGAAAGGATTGAGTGCTTCCGTAGGCTAACTTTGTTCTCGGGTCGAACATAAGGTGGATTCTCACTTAAGGGCGCCTATTCGGCAACGTAACCTCTTTCAAGGAGCAACATGGAGTTATATAAGGTTCATGATTTACAAGGTGAAGCAATTACCGTAGAAACAAAAACCTGCATAAGATTCATATCAGCTGCAATCAATTCCATGTCAATCTGCAGAATTTTATAAACGGAAAAAGGCGGTAAAAAAGGCCACCCAATTTCTTTGTGCTAAGGTTGTTATTCTTCAAAGAGAGGGCCACTCACCAACCATTACTCTGTTGCCGATAAATCTCGCAACTCAGCTCAGCAGCCCATTCGTATGTTGACAGACCATGCACCAAGAAATTCATACACAAGCATCAGTCAACATGTAAGCTCACAAAAAAACAAAGTCCATAAAATTGCACCATCACGTATCACTCACCACGCAGCTGCTCTCCATAAGCGGGTCGTACATGAAACGCGGTAGCAACAACATTCCTAATCACAGCCAACAGCGGCATCGCAGCAGTATTCAGGACCTACACTTGGCCTGCAAATCACCATGTTGTAAACAGCCCTTCCATGTCCAGTTCAAAAACCATACAACAAGCATCTCGCCTCCAAATTGTGCCTGCATCAACATAAGACAATCTGTCCACACCATGACCGCTTTGGACTTGCAAAACTACAAAAGAGGACAGTAGTTTTTTAATCAGCACATATCACGGCCCTGGTCAGAAATGAATAAGAAAGAAAGCCAAGTAACTCAAGGCACAACTCAGATTATCTAGAAACAAATTCCATTTGCACGTGAAGAAAAATAACATAAAGAAGAGAGAAGAGTTATTGATTTGAAGGTTAGGATGAACCGAGGGTTGCTGAGGGGTTACATGTCATTACCTTCTAATAAAAGCCCCGCACGAACCGCACGAACATGGCTTGACCGCAAAGACACCAGCAATTTCCCAGCAATACTGCAACAATACATACAGGACAAAACCGTGAGTTTTACGGAAATGAATTTCACAGCAGATAAATATTTAGACCTCTAACAATGTGAACAAAATCAAGAATTTCATGAGCAAAATTCAGAAGTCTTGCATAAATGCTCAATCAAGTCGTAGCAGCTGGTTCGTAAAAAAAAAGAAATTGAAAATACCACATAAGCACAATAAAAATCTCAAAGTGGAAGCTCAGTAAAAATCACATTTACTAGCAGTGAAATCAGGTATGATAAAGTGCTGTGGCAAAGGAGGTCTTTACCTCACTACAGACAAAAGAGATTGTACTACCTCACCTCAATCCTCTACATACTTCCTCCATATAAAACCGTGTGAGGAGTGACAGCAAAGGAACCCAGCCTCCAAACCCTAGACCAACGAGCCATAACCAGAAAACTCTTCACTTCTTCCCAAATCTCCTTGACTTTTCGGATTCATCCTTCCTCCATAACCTTCTGCAAACTGACCCAGAATAACAACCACCTCTCCCATCTTCATCCTCAACCCCCAATTTCTTAAAGTTTCTTCACCCCAATACCCAAACCGAAACACAGCTTACATTTATGTTCTTCTTTCTCCTTCATTCAAATGGATACACAAATCCGGCCACCTACTTTGACACCAACGACAACCAAAAAACAAAACCCCACTTTTTCTGCAATCATTCTCCATTCTCAAATCTCTTCAAACTAACTTTTCAACGACAAAAATCCCCTCATCCACAACAAAACCCTCAACAGCGATAAACCTGCAAACTTAATCTTCAATATCCATAAATCTTCTCCAAAAGAAC